AGGCGGGAGGCGGATGCGGGTAGGTCGCGGTAAGAGGCGGGTGGTCAGGCGGGAGGCGGATGCGGGTAGGTTGCGGCGAGAGGCGGGTGGTCAGGCGGGAGGTGGATGCGGGTAGGTCGCGGCGAGAGGCGGGTGGTCAGGCGGAGGCGGATGCGGAAATTGATAATCACCGCAAAATTGCTGACGGGAGTGTGATTGGAAAATGGATGAACCAATGGATGGGGTCGTAAGATCGACGTCTCGTGACGTAGCCCCGGTCAGACGGTAGGTTGATTGGTCGCGCGGTTACCGGGTGGTGACTGAATGCGAGAAAAGTTAAGGGTACTCATGAAGCGCATTTAAAACGCCGCGGTGGCGCTGGCTCGTCATTCCCAATTCCACATCATCAGAAGGAAATTGAAGGCTACTCTACCTCGCAGTAATTTCTCCAAAGAAGATGGCTGCACCAATCTTCCAGCCGCCAACTTATCCACCGAGCGGGACTGAGGAGCCGCCGTTAGACTGCGCGCCGAAACTGACACGCGCCCTGGTAAAACGAGGCTGGCGCGAGTGTCACAGCGGTAAGGAAAACAGGCCGTATTATTTTAACATATACACCAAAGAGAGCCTGTGGTCCATGCCGCCTTTCCCACCAGAGCAGAAGGAGGAAAGCCGGGACGGTGGACCGGAGCCTGACGTGCTGGCGGCTGCGACGGCAGAACTTACCGGTAATCCAACTGGTACGCGCACTGCCAACGCTGCTGGCGAGATCGCAGGATGGAGACGTTGCGCGACTTTCTGGTGTGGTACAATAATCTGGACGTCACCCCGTTCCTTGAGGCTGTGCAAAAGATGTTTGCCTTCTACAGGGCGCGGGGAATGGACATGTTCAAATACGCCATATCCGTGCCCGGCCTGTCCCTGTACTACCTGCTTCTAACGTTACCGCGAGACGTCAGCTTCTCCCTCATCGACTGGGAGAACAAGAATCTGTATTATCTCTTGAAGCAAAACATCGTGGGTGGTCCGTCTATCGTGTTCCACAGGTACGACGAAAAGGGCAAGACTCTGATCCGCAACGGACCCAAGACCTGCGCCAATATCGTCGGCTTTGACGCCAATGCCATCTACTTGTGGTCCCTGATGCAACCCATGCCGGAAGGAACTTTTCTCCGTAGGAGAGAGGAGGACGGGTTCAGACCAGTACCGACCACAAGTTCTCGGTGAGAGCGTCGGGGTGGCTGGAACGGACGGCGCGAACCGAGGGCATCTTCATTCGCCACCAGCTTAACCGTGGCGAAAAGCGCATCGGTCCCAGACGCATTCTCGTGGATGGATTTTGCGAAGAAACCAATACCGTCTATCAGTTTCACGGATGTTTCTGGCACGGTCACCGGTGCCACTTGAACCCGCGAGAGACCAACAACGTCAGGAAGAAGTCCCGTGAAGAATTACGGGAGCAGACCGAAAAAAAATGTCGGAGTATATCCGTTCTCGGGGTCACAGATTGGTGGAGATATGGGAATGCGCCTGGCTGGAGGTGTTGTCGACAAATTGTGACGCGGCAGAGTTTGTCCAAACCGTACGACTACCTTTACAGAAGGAGAGCCTGGACAAGAATCGCATCATGGAGGGAGTGGTCAACGACGAACTGTTTGGACTGGTTGAATGCGACATCGAGGTCCCAGATCACCTACGAGACAGGTTTGCTGAAAAGAACGTTGACATCAGCCGCGACGACATCGGAGAGCACGTGCGCCAGTACGCGGAGAGGGAGGGACTTAATATGAAAAATCCTCGCCGCAGCCTCATCGGGAGCATGTTCGGTAAGCGGATGTTACTGGTTACCCCTCTGCTTAAATGATATCTCCAGCATGGACTCCGAGTCACCCGCGTCTATCAGCTGATTCAATATCGGTCATCTCCGTGCTTTCGACCGTTTGGCGAGGCCGTCATCGATGCCAGGCGGGACGGGGATGCCGATCCAGCGAAGGCCATCATCGCCGACACGATGAAACTGTTGGGAAACTCCGCCTACGGAAAGACCGTGACGAACCAGGAAAAGCATCGGGATGTGCGGATATGCGGCAACGTCGATGAAGCGGTGCGACTCATCAACAGCCCGCACTTTAGAGCGATACATCAGCCAGACGACAGTCTGTACGAGGTGGAACTGAACAAATCGTCGATTCACCTCGGTCTCCCGTTGCAGATTGGCTTTTTCGTGTACCAATACGCAAAACTGCGCATGTTGCAGTTCTACTTCAACTTCCTCTTGAAATTCGTCGACACGGCAGACTTCCAGCTGTGCGAGATGGATACGGATTCGGCTTACTTGGCCATATCCAGTAAGTGCCTCGATGATGTCGTGAAACCGGACATGCGAGCAGAGTACCAGCGAGAAAAGTCGGACTGGTTTCCACGCGATGATACTCCTGCCCGTCGCGCCTACGACAAGAGAACGCCCGGGCTCTTCAAAGTCGAGTGGGAAGGAGACGGAATCGTGGCCCTGTGCAGCAAAACCTATTATTGCTTCGGGGCCAAAGACAAAATAAGCTGCAAGGGTCTCAATAAAGCTTCAAACAACCTCACCAAACGGAAATACCTCGAAACGTTGGAGACGCAGGTGGTGGGCGAAGGCGTCAACCGCGGGTTTAGAATGAGGCAGGGCGGTTCCATGTACACCTATGAGCAGGTCAAGAGGGCATTTACTTACCTCTACCCGAAGAGAAAGGTAGCGGACGATGGCGTTTTCACCACCTACCTGGACATATGACCGGCCAAACTCTATATACCCAGTTCGTGAAGCGCTTGATTCTTGCCGAAGGTCATACGCTCATCGAGCCACCCCCGGGGAACATCGTTTGGTGCTACGGGGAATACCAAGATGCTTACGACCATCTGGCTAGTCTGGTGCCTCAAATACGATTTGTGGAGGGCTATTCTGACGACTTACTTAAGACCCTTGACCGGGAGCAGAGAAACCTGGTTGTGATAGATGACCTCATGTCCGAAAGCGGTAACAATGCCAAGGTTACTGAACTGTTCACTAAAGGGAGTCACCACCGAAACCTGTCCGTCGTCCTCATTCTGCAGAACCTGTTCGTTGCCCACTCCCCTGTCTTTTGAGGGGGATTGGGAGGTGGCCTTGTCTGAAGTGACTTACCCGCACC